GCTTTAGAATCCTACTCAATTCTTGTTTTTTTTTAATTTTTTATGTTCTTGTTTTAATATATGTACTTTCTCCTATTTTATTCTCTTTAGATTCTGCTCCACACAATGCATAGCACAAGTACAGGATTGAGGTAGTTGTCCAGCCTCAATGATCAGTTAGGAGAAATGGTCTTTCCACTGGCTCAATCTCAGTTCATTGCTGTCACCTCATACCAAAGCAGTGCTGTAAGCCACAAAATGAATGATTATTATATTAAATATTTGTGACGATCTTAAAAATAATATTAATAATAATGTTAATGGCTGATATTTCATTTTTCTCACAGATTACCAAGCTCAAAGTTGACAACAACCCATTTGCGAAAGGTTTCAGTGACAGGGAGACCTTTATATCTCCATACAGCCAAAGCTATGCTTCATTTCTCCCTCCCTACACTCCATTTGTTCATCCACTATAGGCCAACATAACCAATACACTTACCCTAACCCTCTAGCATCAGTAGCCACTGTACCTACTCCTCAGATATTTTCATCTAGCATGACAACTACAACTGTATTGACACCAACCAGTAGCATACAGCCATTGTTCCCTCCTTCTTCAAATGTTTTTCCAAATACACCTTCAGCCCAGCCTTCTATAGAGAATGGAGCTACAGTATTGGAGATGATAAGAACGCCAAATTGGACAAGTTACCTGAAAAGATGTTGTATTGAAGGAAATTGAGACTGTATTAATTTTGAAGAAGAATTGAACAAACTTTCCTAAATTTCTTGACAACCACTCATCGGAATTTACATGTAAGTAAGAAAGAAATAGATTTACTGATTGCTTTTTACTTACATACAATTGTCCTTGCCCTTTTCTCTCTCCCTATCCCCCTCTCCCAGTGTAACAATTAAGGAACTATCTTGATTGGTTGATGAGTATACCCTGGAGTAAGACCAGTAAAGAGGACTTCCATTTAGAGAGGGCTAAGGTTATACTTGATGAGGATCATTATGGACTCAAGGACATTAAGGACAGGATACTGGAGTTTATAGGAGTCTCAAGATTGAAAGGATCAGTTCAAGGAAAGATACTCTGCTTTGTAGGACCACCTGGTAATGTACATGTACATTAATAGTTATGTATAGTGTATTATATTATATTAATTTATGTATATTGGGTAATGTTTCTATGGGTACTACTCGTAGTGTATTTATTGATATATGACTACAATGTACATGTACTTTAAACAATAAATATTTGAATCAGTCTACATTTTATTGTAATTATAGTCATTTTCTATCTTCTTTTTTATTTCTCTCCCCCACTCTCTCTCTCTCTCTCTCTCTCTGTAGGTGTTGGTATAGCTCATTTAAATGCCCGGGCATTAAATAGAGAAGTTAGACCACACAATAAACTAATACAACAATCACTGACTGACTTTCTCTCTTCGTGTGTGTGTGTGTTAGTACTTTAGGTTCAGTGTAGGAGGTATGACTGATGTGGCTGAGATAAAGGGACACAGGAGGACAGATGTTGGTCCAATGCCTGGTAAAGTGTTACAGAGTTTAAAGAAAGTACAGACCAAGAATCCTAAATCCACTCATACTGATTGATGAGGTTGATATTAGGGACGTGGGTACCAGGTATGGGAGTTTGGAATTGGTAGCATATGATGCGTTGGATTATGTGTCATTTTTTGTTTATTTATTATTCACATTCTCCCTCCCTCCCTCTCTCTCCCTTTTTCTCTAAGGGTGATCCAGCCAGTGCTTTGTTAGAGTTGTTGGATCCAGAGCAGAATTCTTTCTTTTTGGATCATTATCTTGATGTTCCTGTGGATCTCTCACGTATCCTGTTCATTAGTACAGCCAATACAACTGACACTAGGACCACTCATTGACAGAATGGAAATAATACAAGTAAAGGAACTACTCATACATTAATATACATGTACTTATGTTGTGTAGCAAG